CCCTCGTTCGCCATCTGAGGCGAGAGTGGCTGGACATTGAAGTTCAGATCTCTCTCGGGATCAAATTGCGATTATATCTGACGCGAAATTGGACGGACCTCCTCGCGCGCGGCACGCCTGAACTCAAAAAGGGGAGGACTTCTGAGGCGAGACTGGCTGGAATTACTTTAGGTGGGGGCATTTCTTATCGCGAAAATGGCTTGGGTGTCTCAGGCGAATCTGGCTTGGAAGTTGCTGGGGTGTCTCGGCACTTGCTTGGGTGTCTCGGAGTTGCTTGGGTGTCTGCGCGCGCCATCTCTGAGCCACAGTTGGCAAGAGTAATCAAGTGAGACTGGCCAGGCCACCTCGAGTTAGCGGCATTTTGAGCCCAGAGTTGGCAGGATGTCACAGGCGGAAATGGCCGGGCATCTTTCGCGCGGCATCCCTGGACGCAGAGTTGCGAGGACGTCTCAAGCGAGAATGGCTGGACAACTTCAGGTCCGGACATTTTCCAGGTCAAAGTTCCGATCATGTCTGAAGCGATATTGGCCGCACCATCTTGCGCGCGGCACGCGGAGCCCAAATAGGGGAGGACGTTTGAGGGGAGACTGGCAAGGCCACTTCATGTGGAAGCATATCTGAGCCCAGCATTGGCGGGATGTCTCAAGCGAAACTGGACGGACCATTTCGCTCGCGGCATATGTGAGCCCAAATGCGAAGATGCTTCAGGCGACTCAGACTGCCTTGGGCGATATTGGGGGCCTTTGGGGCCGTCGTCAAATCATCATAGGCGTCTTGGGCAGATTATTCGGCGATTTCGGGCCCTTTGGACCGTCTTGGGAAGCCCAACTGGCGGGCCAGAAATCACCCAAGGGACACTTGGGGCCTCCGGGGACTGGCCAGCCCCACGGGCCCTTGGGGCCGCCAGATTCTATTGGGGGGGGCCGCCCATCCCCGGGGATCTCCTGATGTGAGATAATAAAGATAAGGATCTATATGTAGATGTAGATGTATATGTATGGATGTATGGCAGTATGTATGTATGTATGCATGCATGCATGCATGCATGTATGTATGTATGTATGTATGTATGTATGTATGTATGTGTGTGTGTATGTATAGAATATGTGTATATGTATATATGTGTATATGTATATGTACACATCTGTATATGTGTGTGTGTGTGTGTGTCCCGGGGGAGCAGGCCCGGGGCCCGAAAACAGCTGCCCCCCGACCCTCCATAGGGGGCACCGGGGCTCATTTTCCTTGTGTTTTTACCGGGTTTCCGCGTCCTGGGCTTCGGAGGCCGCCGCCTCCGCCCCCCCATGGGAGGAAGGGGCGGCCGGGGAGGTCCAAAATTGCCCAGGAGGGCCTCCAGAGGTTCCCAAGACGGCCCAAGCGGGCCCCGAGTCGCCGAAAGACCGCTCCAGGACGCTCAAGATAGGCCCAAGACGGCCCGAGAGGCCCCCCAAGGCACTCCACGACGCTTCAAGACGCTTCTCCAGAGCGCTTCAAGAGGCCGAAATCGTCAATTTTACGAAGGTTTTCGAACGATTTTGGCCTTCCAGCCTTTTCGGCTGTCCGACGTTCCAAGACGGTTCAACAGGCCCCCAAGAGCGCCCCAAGACGGCCCAAGAGGGCCCCAAGACGGCCCCAGAGTCGCCCAACAGCCCAACAGAGCCCCAAGACGGCCCCAAGATGCGCCCAAAAGGGGGACCACGACTCCCAAATTCGACCCTCCCGCTTCAAGAGTGCCCCAGGATGCCCCAAGGAGCCCCCAAGAGGCCCCAGGAGGCCCCCAAGAGGCACCCAGGAGGCCCAAACGATGCCTAAAGAGACCACAAAACAGTTCCGAGGAGGCCCCACAACGGTCCCAAAACGGCTACCGAGAAGCTGCGAAACTGCCTTCACGACGTCCCCGACAGGCCAATCACGAGATCCAAACCAACACCCATGAGGCCTCTGACCCACCACCCAGGGCACGGTGGCGGGCGCAGTGACAGCACTTGTGCACAGCATGTTCCGGCGGGAGCCTTCCGGAACACGCTGCAGGAGGAGGAGGAAGATCAGGAGGAGAGAGAGCTGGAGTGGGAGGAGGAGGAGGAGGAGGGGGACGAGGAAGAGGAAGAGGCCTCCAAGACAGCTCCAAGATAGCCGAAGAGGCTTCCAAGAGGGCCCTGGGCGGCCCACGAGGGCCCCAAGGCGGTGCCTGAGGCGCACAAGACGGCCCGAGAGGGCCCCAAGACGGCCCCAAGAGAGGCCCAAGAAGGGAAACACGAATTGAGAATACGAGCTTTCTACCCCGAGAGGTTCTCGGGAAGTCCCAAGAGGCCCCCAATCGGATCCAAGAGGCCCCCAAGAAGCTCCCAAGAGGGCCGACGAGGTTCCAAGAGATCTCCCAAGGTGGCCCCAAGAGACACAACTCATTGTTTTACGATTGGGCTTTGACGGGTTTTAATTTTTTCGGCCTTTTGGCATCCCGACGCTCCAAGACGGCCCAAGAGGCTTCAAATACCGCCCCCAAGAGCCCCAAGAGAGGCCCAAGAAGGGGAACGCGACCCAACAGCAGAGCGTTCCCCCCAAAAGGCCCACAGGAGGCCGCAAGAGGCCCCCAAGTGGTCCGACGAGGACCCCAAAAGCTTCCCGAGGGCCCAAAAGGCCCCTAGGAGACGTCCAAGAGGTTTTAAAATAGCCCAAGAGTGCCCTCGATGCGTCAAAGGCTTCCGGATTGCCTCAATCTGGCCGCAGGTGGCCTCAAGTCGGGCCTCCACGCAGCCAAGACGGCCAATGACGGCTTCAGATTGTTGAACCGATGCCCCCACGGGACCTTCAGACGCCCCCCCAAGAGGCACCCAAGAGGTGCCTCCAACAGCCAGTTGACGAAGCATGCGGAACACCCCAGAAGCTCCTCAGATGCCGTCGCGCGCCTGTGCATGATAGCGTTGTCCAAGATCGTCCAGCGCCCCCCCAGCCTGGGCTAGAACCTGAGCGCGCGCGAAGCGCGCGCGATGTTTCTAGTATATCTCTCTTTCTATATATATATATATAGTGAGACAGAGAGCCCGCCGAGACGGGTCGGACGAGGATTTCGACTCCGAGTCCGTCGGAGACGGTCTCTTCTAGCCTGCACCTGTTGTCGAGCGCTGGGCCCATCCTGACCTCCCGCAGTCCTCCCGTCGCCCTGGACTGCCCGTCGCTGCTGTGCACCCGGGTGTGCCCTCTCCCTCTCTCTCCTGCTCTCCCTTGCCTTGGAGGCGCGCAGAGGGGGGTAGGGGGAGGGGGGGAGGCTTCTTAGAAGCACCCCTGCTTCTTAGAAGGTGCGGGCCTTCTCTGTAGATGTAAGGCCGGCGCCTTCTAAGAAGCAGCCTCCTTCTAAGAAGCCTGCACCCCTACCCCTACCCTCTTCTGCTCGCCGCCAAGTGCCTCCGCCCCCCTCTCACTGTCGCCCCCCCCCCCCCGCGTCTGGCAGCCATGGCGGCCACGTGCGCCGCGCAGGCCTTGGGCGCCCCGTGACGCGGTGCTCGACGGCAAAAGGCCCGGGCCCCGGCCCCGTTCAGCATCAACACGCTCTGCCCCTGCTGGACGTCGGCGCCAGCGCGCACCTGCGAGGCCCCCTCCAACGGCTCGTCGACCACCGCCACCCGCTCAGGGAAGCCGCTATGAAGCACTCCTGCTCGGCCTCCGAGTATTGCACCTCGCCCTCGGCGGGCTCCAGCAGAGGCGCTGCCGCCGTCGCCAGCTCCGTGAGGAAGCACCCCGCCATGTCAGTCTCGGCCGCCGCATCCGCCTTTGCGTCCTCCGCAAGCTTGCATACGCCGTCGCCCAGCGCGCAGACTTCCACCTGGGCACTCGCGGCGACCCCGAGCTCCGTGACCTTCACGGCCTTTTCGGGCCCGCCCACCAAAGCACGGGTCAACTGCGGCTGCGGCGGCCGCCCCGGCACCCAGTTGGTGGGCGTCCGTGATTGATGATGATGATGATGATGATGATGATGATGATGATGATGATGATGATGATGATGATGATGATGATGATGATGAAGAAAATGATGATGATGATGATGATGATGATGATGATGATGATGATGATGATGATGATGATGATGATGATGATGATGATGATGATGATGATGATGATGATGATGATGATGATGATGATGATGATGATGATGATGATGATGATGATGATGATGATGATGATGATGATGATGATGATGATGATGATGATGATGATGATGATGATGATGATGATGATGATGATGATGATGATGATGATGCTGATGACTGCCCGGCAGGCCCTTCGCCGCGCTGCCTGTCGGCCAAGGCCTGGGCCCTGGTCCCGCGCCTGCTCGGCAGCCGCATCGAGGAGGCCACCAGCAAAGCTCGGGCCAGGCGAAAGGGGGGGATTAGGGAAAGGGGGGGTTACGAAATTTGCTGCATGCAGCTGGTTTCGGCCTCGCCGAGGGGCCAATTCCTTGATACATGGCCGCCTCCGGCGCCGGGAGGCGCCAGGAAAATCAGCTACGTGAGCTGATTCTCAACCCCCCCCCTTTGCTATCCCCCCCTTTCGCCCGACCCGAAAAGCCTGGCGACCCCTGTGCTCCGAAGGAGAACACCTGCATCAACAGAAAGGTTTGGCGCTCCGCGCGGATTCCTTGGCCCTGCGCTGGGGCCACCAGCCTCGGGTGCCCGAGGCCACCTGCGCGCTCGTCAGTGTGCAGAGCCCCCACGTCTGAGGCCGCCCGGTTTCCTGGCGGGCGCCCTCCTCGTTTCCATGTGTCCGAGCGTGCCCATGGCCCGGCGTGGAGCGCCGGCTGCTTGAACGCGTTCGCGACCGCTGTCGCTGCTGACCCAAAGAGTTTAGAGCGCAATCCCCGACAGCAACCACCTCCTGCTCCTCCTCCTCCTCCTCCTTCCTCCTTCCTCCTTCCCATGGTCCCTCCGACTGTCTCGTCCCTCCCTCTTCGGGGACGGCGAGGGCGCGAATGCGCGCCGCCATTCCGCTGTTCGGCTCCCCGACAGGTTTGCGGGCAGATGGAGCCCTGGGGCTCGGGCGACGCCACTGGCCGGGTCGAGCCCGACGAGGAGACGCGTTCCCCTGTCCCTCCTCCATCATTGCGTTCTTCCTCCTCCTCCTTCTCCTCCTCCTCCTCCTTCTCCTCCTCCTCCTCCTCTTCCTCCGTAGCCATTTTGGCTCAAGGTTTTGAGTTCCCCAGCGGAACAAGTGGATACCGCTAGTCCGCGGCAGTGCCAAGGCCTTGCGCCTGACAGCTTTTGCCAGTACTGCACGGGCCTCTGGCAGCCCATTTCTCGTGCGCCCACATACGCGTTTCTCGCTGGTCATATGGCCCCAGGCAATGGGGGGGCAAAGTGTTCGGCGTGTGGCGCGATCAAGTGCAACAAGCCGTGGTATAAATGGTGTGCGAACTGTTGGTCCCCCATTCGGCATGTGGAGTCAGTTGACCCTAATGTTGCTCATAAGCCTTCTGGTCAGTGGCAGTTCGGTCCGCCCAAGGCCGACGGAGGGGACAAGAAGGGGCTCAAGGGCAAGAAGGGCGGAGGCAAGGGTGGGAGTGACGGAGGCAAAGGAGGAGCCCTCGCACCACCCCGCACCCCCGCAGCCATGCTTGCCCAGATGGCTCTTTTCATGGATCAGTTCAAGGAAGAGTTCCCAGAGCGCGATGCCCTTGCTGCAAGCATTCAGAAGTCGGCTACGTGTGTCAAGTCTTCAGCCGAGTCGGATAAGGACTCGCTTCCTCTTCTACAGCAGCATCGCGATGTACAGGACTCTCTCACCAAAAATGAGAAGTTCGTGGCTTCAATGGATAAGCAGATCTCGGAGTGCCAGGACAAGCTTGCCAGGCTTCAGGAGCAGAAGGCAGAGGCTGAGGCGCAGCAGGTTCAGATCCGTGCTCGGCACAAGGATCTTGCAGCTAAAGCCCGTCTTCTCGCCGCCGACGATCCTGCCAAGGACCTGTCCGCGCAGATGGCGTCCTTCAACGACGTGCTCGAGGGAGGCGACCTGGGGTCCATTCGTGAGGCCTGGTCCAAGCTCAAGCCAGCCTGTGAGACCTTTGCCGCGCCTGTGCCCGCTGAGCCTGCTGCTGCTAACTTTGGCGGGGGTGGGGAGGGCGGGGAGTCTGGGTCTGCAGACGCTGACATGCCTCAGGTCTCACCTGAGGACGAGTCGGCCTTCCAGTCATTCATTCGCGGAGATGAGATTTCCGAGGAAGCCAGGAAGAGGGTCGCTGACTACCTCCAATCCGCGACCGAGCGTATCAAGTCGGGGGCGGCGGGGGCAGCGGCAGCCGCTCCAGGAGCTGGGGCGCCGCCTGCAGCGAGTGGCGGAGCTCGTGCTCCTGGCGCTCCTCTTGCTCCAGCTCCTGCCGACGGCGCCGCTGCCCGCCAGGAGCCTCCGCCCTGACCAGCAGCAGGGTGCAGCACCCTCGCTGCATTGCTCGACGGGGGAGTCCCCCATTTTAAGCCAGGATATGTTCTTCAGTTCTGAGGGTGCAGCATTGCACCCCCCGCCTGCTCCGCCGATGCAGGATTTCTCTCTTGTAGTCCAGACTTGCAATATTTCAGGCTGGCTCTCTTTGAAGCACAAGTGGCTGAGCAAAGTCACTGCGCATGTGCTTCTGGTGCAGGAACATCACCTCATCAACGATGACGACATTGCTTCGGCCTCTCAGTGGCTCTTTCGGCGAGGATGGAAATCCTGCTGGGCTCCTGCAGCACCTGGGCCTGGTGGTGGCACGTCGGGTGGCATCGCTGTGCTCGTCCGCTCCTACCTGGGCATGCACGCGCTCTCCTCGGGCTTCATCATCGCCCCGCACCGTGCAGGAGCAGCAGTCGTGGTCGTTCCTGGTGGGCTTCGCATTATTGTCGCATCTGTCTACCTGCACGACGTAGAGGGTCTCTCCGAGCGCAATGTTGAGCTGCTCTCGCAGGTGGGCGCCAGCATCTCCCACGCGGACCTTCCCGTCATTGTAGGCGGGGACTTCAACATGACCCCTGGGGACTTCTGCCGTAGCAAGTTCGTGCATGAGTTTAAAGGCCAGCTCATCACCCCCGCCGACGGCTGTTACACCCTTCGGAGTCTGGGATGTCTCAAAGTTTTTGATTTCTTCGTCGTCTCGTCGGGCATCAGCAAGGTCGTCAAACAGGTGACTGTCAATGACAATTCCCCCCTCTCCCCACACAGCCCTGTGGGTTTGGAATTGTTTCCTAACCCTGCTCAGATGCAAGTTTTGGAATTTCGCAAGCCCCCTCCTCTTCCCAAACAGCAAGCTATTGGGCCCATTCGTGAACCCCCTTCCTGGGACTCGGTTCTTTACTTGTTGGAAGGCACTGTGGCTGTCGCTCGTTCGGGGGAAGGGGCTGAAACTCAACGTAGGCTGGACCTCGCTTACAAGCTCTGGGCCAACATGGACGAATGTGAAGTGGCCGAGGCCACGCAAGTCTCTCTGCCGCACTGGGGTGCTAGGGGCAAGGCTCCCCAGCTTGTGTGGCAACCCGTCTCTGGCCGCGACAAGGACGAACCTCGCCGCCCTGCACTCTACGCTGCGCGTTGGGTTTACAATCGGGTCTTGGACTGCAGTGTTTTCATTGACAATCAGGGGACCTCTTCTGGGATTGACGGTCATTCCCCCCCAAACTTGGTTGCTCTCAAACGCGTTGTCCGTTCCCCCCCTAGTTTGGTTTGGACCACTTAGGGGGCAACCGCCACTACCTTGACACTCTGCAGTCCCTGGTCTCAGGTCTTACTGTTAGCAGTTTCAAGGACAGCGCTGACCAGGCCATTAACCTGGCGGTGCAGGTCCCAGGAGAGGCTGCCACAGCCGAGGCGTCAGCTAGGACCAGCAGCTTAGCTTCCTGGCGCAGTTGGCTGCGGGAGAACATTGACCAGGGAGCTAAGCGTGCGCACATGGTCACTGCTGAGCCCCAGCCGTGGAAGCCGACTTCGACTCTGTCAGCTCACGGGTGCGTGGTCAGCGACCCGCTCTCCTTGCTCGCCGCGGAGCGGAGCAAGTTCACGGTTTTGTGGAGAGCCACTCCTGCTCCACACTCGACTGGGAAGGTTAAGGATTTCCTACCTGCTCCCGACCTCCCTCCTCTCGATCCCCATGAACTCATTCGTCTGTCTCGTAAGTGCAAGGCGAGCTCGGCGGTCGGGATCGACGGTTTCCATATGAGACATTTCAGTATGATCTCGGTCCCAGGGGTTTCGGCCTTGTGTGGGATCCTCCAGGTTGTGGAAATCTCTAGCATGTTGCCTGCCCAGCTGGATGCCACCGCCCTGGCCCTGCTGGGTAAACCGGCGGGGGGGTTCAGGCCCATCGGCATTTTCGTGAGCCCGCGTCGCCTTTGGGGGAAAGCGAGGAGGGGGCTGGCGGAAAAGTGCGAAGGGGATCGCGCTCGGCCCTACTTTGCCGCTGGTAAGTTTCAAGGGGCCGCCGATGTTGTGTGGCGCCAATGTGTCAAGAGTGAAAGTGGGGTCTCCAGGAAGGAACATGCGGCCACTCTTTTCTGGGATATATATAAATACTACGAGTTGATCGATCTGGATCGTCTGCTTGCGCGGTGCGAAAGGTTGAATTTCCCCGTCGCCATGGCCAGACTGGCCATCAGGGCCTATCGGGCCCCTCGTTTCCTTTCCCTCGGCGGGTGTCTGGACGGTCCGTGGTTCGTCTTCTCGGGGATTGTGGCGGGGTGTTCCCTTGCCACTACCCTCGCCAGGGTGAACAGCATTGAAGCCTTGGACTTGATTGTTCTTCGCCCCTGTTGCTACCTGGCCCTGTACATTGACGACTCGGGGTTGTCTGCGGTCGGTGCTTTCAACGACGTGGTTCGCTCGATTGTTGAGGGAGCCCCGCAGCTTCACGAGGCCATTGTCGATGGGATAGGGGGGAAGGTGGCGCAGGACAAATCAAGCCTTGTCTGTTCTTCGGCGGCCGTGGGCCGTGCCATTCAGGCTGCTCTCGGAGCTGAGTTTACGGGCCCCATCGCGGACAGTTCCATCAATTTTGGCATTGATGACACGGGGGGGAAGAGCTTGAGGACTAAGGGGAGGGGTGTGAAACTCAAGTCTAGACTTCGGCTCTTTAAGAAACGTACCCGCCGTGTTGCCAACCTTTGCTCTGCCCTAGGGTCTCGACGCACCCTGAGGGTCTTCAAGGCAGGACCTCTCCCAGGTGTGCTCTACGGCAGCGAGGTGCGCGGGGTCACGGACCACGAGCTCCTCCACCTGCGCCGCTCGGCGGCGAGTACCATCAAACCCTCAGCAGGCCAACGCTCCCTGACGGTTTTGTCTCATTTGGAAGGGGGCCCCGCTTGGATCGGTTCGATTGCCCCGATTTTACGGTGGCGCAAGGAGGTTTGGTGCACCCAAGTTCGGGCCTTTGAAGGCTCGCTCAGTTTCAGGGAGCTGAGGCGGGCTTGGGAAGGTGTTTTTTCTAATCGAATCCTGTTCATGGCGTGCAGTCGGAGGCCCCGTTGCCGCCATGCGCAAGTCCTTGGAGAGGCTCTCCTGGACGATGAGGGATTTCGCCACCTTTGTAACGGACCAGGGGGCGATCCTCTCCCTGACCCTCATCTCTCCCCAGCTCATGCGCCTCCACCTTCGGGCTGCAGTGTTTCGTGGGTTGGAGTGGGACGCAGGGGCTAAGTGGGATGTTCCTCATCGTCTCTGTTTTGACGTGGTCAAACATTCTCTACGTAGCAAGCGGTTCTCGGCCTTCGAGAAGGGCTGCATCAGGGCTGCCGCCACCAATGCGGTTTGGACTCGTCAAAAAGCCAGGGACCTCGGGTACGATGTTAGCGTGTTGTGCGACAAGTGCGGTACCGCCCCTGACACCCTCCACCACCGCCTCTGGGTCTGCAGTTGCCCCGACATCCAGGAGCTTCGGGAGAGCATCGTGGAGCCAGAAGTCATCGAGAGAGAGCCTTACGGGAGCCTGGTAGTGTGCTGTCTTGTTTCGGGGCCTCTGCGCATCCGGGGGATTATTTTCCTAAGCCCTCTTCGGAGCCCTCAGCCACCTTCTTTGCTCCTGAAGGGCTCCCCCAGGATCCCCAGAGTTTCGATT